GTCGTCTTCAGGGTGCACGACCACAACATGTTCACCGGTAAAGCTCTGTCGAGCTCGTACTCCAACATCAGCTCTGATGCATTGACGGTGTTGGGCGCACGCTGCGCGCGATTCTCGCGGATGGAGAAGAAGTATGCCGGTAAGATTACCTTCACACCTGCTCATCTACTGTATACTAACTGACGGCTTGCGTTCAGAAATTGCCGCGAAGACCGTCGTTGACATCGCGCAAGCCCACGACGAAGAGTTCGGCCGTACTAGCAGCCCCCCTCCGACAAGTGACCCTGCGTTGAAGACCACCGCGAATACCTCCAAGCCTCACAGAGGGGCCCCTGCGACTGGCGCCCAGGCGCGGAAGCCGCCCAAAACGGGATCTGGCACTTCGGGGTCCACTTCGGGGTCCACTGCCAGCTCTCAGCGTGGCGGCAACCACGGCAGTAGTAAGTCCGTCACTCCAGCTGGTCCGTCGAAGATGAAGAAGTCAGGTGGTGCGTCTGGCAGCGGCAGCGGTGGTGCGTCTGGCAGCAGCAGCTCTCGTGCCAAGCCCCCGCTGAAAGGCCCGATGACTCGTAGTGCGGCCATGAAGTCCAAGGCCCCGCCGCCCCCGCCGCCCCCTCCCGTTCCGAGCATTTCCGTTGATGATACCATGGCGGGTGTGTCCGACCCCCCGTCACGCCGCGTGTGAAAGGACGCCACCGCTTACGCACCCGTGCGCGCACTGCAAGTGCTCTCGCGTTTCCTCTCTGTATTTCCGTCTCTACCGCCATCCGTCTGTCATGATGATTAACAACTTGTACCTGTATATTTCACAAATTCCATTGTAACCGCTTCCCTCTGCCCGCGTCGTGAATTTGTCTCAGATGTACACGCCTTGCTGACGGAGATTTGCTGCGCGCACTTGCGTGACTGTCACACCTCGGATCACTGCCGATCGCCGAGGTGTCGGCGGCGCGGAACTTCTCTTCCTCTCTCTCAATGTTGTAATGTTGGTGAGTGCGCGCATGTGTGAAGGCAGACTTTGATGCGCGCAGCAGTCCCACTTTGCCGGTAGTGAAATGCGCGCATTGAAACAGTCCCTGCGGTGCGAAGCCCCACTGAGTTTGAGTTATCTATTCAGCCGAGCCGTTTCCATCGCTGCGCGCAGATAGCATGTTTCATTTGTCATGGGAGCTGCCCGTTAAGTATATAGCGCATCTCCCGGGGAGTTGTTGCCCTTCCACTGCCAGTCTCGCCATGCCCCCTCCGCCTACCGCCAGTACCTCGAAAGGTGCAGGTTCGAGTCGCGCGACACCTTCGACGGCTGTAGCACGCTCGCAGGCTGGTACCCCTCGGCCACGGGCACGGACAGCGGCATCGTCACGGCGGCAAACACCCAGTGTACGTTCAACAGGTGCCGCGACGGGCGCTGGCAGCCGCCGGCCTGGCCGTCGCCCAGCTCAGTTTGGCTCCGTGGCGTCCGACCAGAATGTCATTGATGAGCAGGCCGCCAGTGATGGAGAGGATAGGTGCGCAGTAGGGTTTTCCCTCGATGGTGTGTGGCTCCGCTAAGTCTTCGTATTGCAGTGACTATTCCGGCATTGTGGTCGACCCTGATCCTGGGCCGGACATCGATCCGCATGAGGTGCTCTTGCACCTCGTCGCGAAGGGCGATGGCTCCGAGTAAGTCGTGTCAACTAGTCGCAGGTTTACAGTAGTACTCTGAGAGCTCACATCCACACAGGGCGGACCTGTCGTCGACGGTGGTTGGGCACGTTGGCCCGTTCAGTCTTGATGCTCTGCCGAACAGCATGCTAGCAGATGGGAAGGAGGTGTCGCAGGACGAGGTGAGGAAGAACATCAATATGCACCATGCTCGGGCCACGAAAGAACGCGGCGAAGGCTGGGCAGAAAGCAAGTGGAACGAACGGTTTAGGGTGACGGTCCCGGTCTCGCAGCTTCGCAAGTACTGCGAGAGGGACGACGCGCAGTCGCGCCGAATTGCGACGGGCTTTCTGAAGAAGCGCACGACTGTGAAGGTTGACGATGAGTACATGATTCCCGCCTCGCACCCGGCTCTCATCTGGAGGATGGACCGCCACTATATCGACTTCATGCTCTGTGTTCCGTGGCGGATGGGGATGTCTGTCTGTCTACCACCCGTGCTTAATCACCACAACTACTCCGCCACACTCCTGCTCAATCAGGGCTACAGGAAGCTGCACGACAAACACGGGAAGTTCGGGTGCGACCTGTCGGGACGGAGCGCGTTGCTTGGACACTACCTCGAAGATGAGCTCTGGGCGGTGTTTGTTCCAGTGTCGTTCTTCGACAACGAAGACGCGGAGGAAGACAGCGAGAGCCCTCTTCCTCTGAGCTCGTACGGCATCAAGAAAGGCGACACACGTCTTACCGCGGAGCACTTCAAGATTTGGCAGCTCTTCGTCTGCCGCCTGTTGGAGGACGTTGGGTGGGGCGGGTTGGTCGTCAATCCGCGCTACCTCTGGGGACGGGGAGACAACCTGCGTGATTGGGAGCTCCAGGAGATTTGCAATGTCTTGTGAGTTCCCAAAAACGGGCGGAAATGGTGGTCGTGTGCGATGATCGTGCGCGCTCACCGAAACAGCCCTCTTTTTGAGCATATACTGACCATCATCTCCAGCGAACACCCGTCCATCAAAGTCAACCTCAAGAACGTGATCGACATGCACAACAAGTTTGAGGATAAGTGGACGAAGTTTGTGGAAGAGATGCCGGACGCCTGGAAGGCTGACAAGTTCTTCACCCACCACAAGCCTGTCGTCTGCTCGTCCCGCTACGGACAGAACACGCCCGTTGCGGTGCCCACCGCACTCTTGCGCGAGGCTACGCATTGGGAAGAATCGCGCACGTGGGCCGACATGAAGTACGTCAGTATGGCCATTGCTTCCGAGTTAGAGTGAGTGTCGTCGGACTGCTTCTTGCGTGCGCGCACCGGCTCCTGCTAACGGATGTGTTACAGCGTCCACCAGATTGACAGCTTTGATCTGATCAGTACGGAAGAGATGTTCGAGAAGCACGGGCCAGTGTACGAACATTACATCCAGGGTCCCGGCAATAAGCCCCTCGATCTCGACACGTTCCCTATCGAAGACGATAACGGCGTAGAGATTCGATTGTACACAAAGGCCGGACACCTCGTCTCCCGCAAGCAGCCGGACGCCGCGTCCGTCATCGGCTCAGGGTGCGGCCTGCTTTTTGATCTCCGGCGGATTCACGAGATGTTCAATACGTTCAACGACGACGGGGAGGGAGTGGAGCGTCTGTGGCAGGAGGAACAGCGGCAGCGGCGTGACAAGCGTCGTGCTCAGGCTGCTGCAGCTGAAGTGGAGCCTGTGGAGGAGCCATTAGTAGAGGATGATGCTCCGGCACCTGTCCTCAACTGGGGCGACGACGACCTGACCAACGTGCGGTTGTCCGATAGTCCGCCGGCATCCCCTATCTGGGACCCCTACGCAGACCATGTCTCGTCCGCTGGCGAGTCGGTACCGCCGTCGGAGCTTGACGACACCAAGGACGACATCGAAGATGATGACCTTGAAGCCATCGACGAGGACAGGCTTGGACAGGGCAGTGGCGAAGGTGTCGCGCCCAACGATGGCGATGACGACGAGGAGGACCAGGACCAGTGGCAGGACGAGGACGAGGACGAGGACGAGGATGCGGACGCGTTTGCAGAGCGAATGAACGGGATGATGGGGGAACGCAGGGACCAATCTAAACGTCTGCGTCTTGACCTATATCCACAGGCGTTCCTCGGGCACATCGGCAACTTCCAGGCGAACAAGTTGTTCCCGCACTACACGCCGTTCATGGTCGACATCGACAAGGCGATCCGAGCGTCCGTTCCTGACCGCCCTGACTTCCACGAGGAACTTTTGGATGGCGCCGAGTACGTTGAGCCAAACGTGCAGGAACGCATCAATTGGGAGAATGAGCACGGGTTAAGCGGGCCCATCATCGAGATGCGCGAGATGCAGGGCTACAACGCATTCTCGCACCATAGCCGTCCGACCGCAGGACAGCAGAACATGACCAGCGGCTCACTGACCCAGGCTGCGACAGGGGCGTGGGCGCCGGGGGTCCGCCCGGACAAGCTGCACCAGAACATTCTCAAGCGGAACGAGCTCGGTCTCCCGCATGTGCGGTTCCTCGACGTGGTCACTGGCCCTTTCGACTCGTCTGTCTCCCTGCGAATTGAGTGTAATCTGACTGTGTACGTCCGTCGTATGCCCGCCGTCTCGCGGACTGGAGCGTAAGTCTACCTGTTATTCGTGCGCGGAACGGAATGTTGACGTGCGCGCACCCTGCCAGGCAACTGTACAAAAATGTTGCCCTAAAGTTCATCGAAGCAACAACCAATCCTATCATCATCTCCCGCCTGAAGAAGCACATTGTCGTGTTTGCTGAGGGGGTAGGTGTCATTCCAGCCTTCTTACTTCATGAGAGCTGACAGCGACGCGGCACAGGTGTTCCCCAAGATATACCACTGGACGTCGTACCCCGTGCATGCGCTGACCTCGCAGATGTACCGCGCCATGGAGCCTGACATTAAGGCGAAGAAGAAGGTCGACCCGGTCAGGGTCGAGCTGCTCTCGTTTATGGAGCGTTCACTTGCGTATGCGCACACGGGTAACGTGCGAGTCATCTCAGGCTGCATGAAGTACTTTTGGCTGCTGAGATCCATGCTTGAGTACGGATTCCCGTCCATTCATCCGGACGTGTGCATCGACACAGAGGATGAGTTTCCTCTCAGCATCCCGATCTCGTTGTGGCCTTGCACCGAACCGAACATGACCCCTCAAACTGTGTCTTCACGTGCCATGGAGTTGACGTGGGGCCCAGGACCTGTTGCAGTAAGTCAATGCCATTCTCTGCGCGCGCGCACTTTACGCTGTGTATCATATTGGCTGACATGTGCGTCTCACCCTGTAGGCTTACCTGGCGACGTTCACGTTGGCCGTGATGGAGGTACAGGGTGTCGCACCAAAGTACATACAGCATGCCAACGACCCGATCTTCGCGAAGGCGCTGATGATCACCGACATGGCCGTCCAGCTGTTAATCACGGACTTGAAGCAGTTCGTGTCTCGTGAGGTCCGTGCGCAGGCGAAGCGTGTGTCGAGTGCCGCGCTTGCACAGATGTCCGCACAGGAACGCCACCACCACGACCAGCGCGAGCTGTGTCTCGTGCAGTGGCTGGACTGCCCAAACCCGTTTTCGCACAACCGGAAGCGTGTGGACCCCGGTAAACCAGTGCTGAGCACCGCCATCACGGTCCCGTTTTCCCTCCTGGTGCGCGTACTCGCTCCGAAGTCCACAGACATCATCAATGGCCTGCCAAAGCAGGAAGGGGGATTTGCTACCACGCACATGGCCCAGCGCACCCTCGCCGAGCTCATCTTTGAATGCACACGGGAAGTCGATCCCAGACCGCTCCACGCTCCGCTCGTCCGGCAAGGATCCGCACTTCTCGTCCTGCCGCTTGCCATGGCGCGCGTGACGACGATGGCACCGTCGACCGCGATCACTCTACAAGAACGGGAGAGTTGGGCCATGGACGTGCTCGCTGTTTCCTTGAAACAAAACGAGATTATGTTCGTTCCGTGGGCGAAGTCGCACGTCGTCGACAAGAACGGGAAGTTTCGCGGGACGGGACCCCGGAAGACTGTCATCGACTCGTGGATAATGGTTGATCACCCCGCGAAGGCACCGCCGCTGCTCACTGATGCGCCCGGGTCAACTACGGTGGCGCACGGATCTCGCTCTATGGCTCAGCAGTTCGAGGACCAGGCAAACGCAAATGCCCTGCGAGCGCAGGAGCAGAATCCGAGCGCGACGTGGCCCGCGACCGATAGACCGTTGCACGAGATGGGCTGGTTCGTGGAGCGTTCAGTTCATCCGGAGGAGTTCACGCTTCACACCGCAAACGTCCATCCCCCTCCCCCTCCCAAGAACCCTGATGAGGAGGCGAAGCCGGAGAAGGCGGTGATGTACAACACGTATGTGTGGGTGCTCGCCAACTTTGACTTTTCGAATGACGTGCACCACCTCGCGCTCATAGTCGCAGTGGTGTACTCGCGTCTGTGCCCAACGTTCTCATACCCGAAGAAAGGCGACAACTTCGAGTTCAGCGACAAGGCGAACGACTACCGGGCGTTGACGGAGGAGATCCGTGCGTCGAAGTGGCTCGACATGCCCCAGACCCATGGCACCCACGCCACGAAGCCGAAGCTGTACATCCTGGGCGTGACGGCGTACATCATCGGGCTCTGGGACCAGAGGAGTCCCATCCACATCTATCTCAGCACCGTCAAGTCGAAGTCGCTCACTTCAATAATCCTCAGCAGGCACAACATGAGGGGCATCCTCCTACACAACCTCCCCCGGCTGGGCCTCGCGTGGGTCTACTCTACCAAGGGCACGAAGGGGCTCATGGACGTCGACTGGGGATTCAAGTCGAACGACTTGCTGCGCAAACTCCGTTTGGAGCTCGTCGAGCGCTTCCTCGACCCGCCGTACGGAGCCTATGACGCGGTCGTGCTGCTGTGCGGGGTGGATTGCGCGAACCGCCTCGCCGTGGCCGGTGAGCTCGTGCCGCGTGTCGACATCCTCTACCAGCCCCGGGCTCCAGCTGTCGCAGGGCCCTCAACATTATTGCCGTCTTCATCTCAGATGATGCAAGCGTACCGCTCGCCGACCCCGCCTGACGACCAATCGCGTTCGCCGTCGCCCGTGATCACCACTGTCGATCGGGTTGCGCGCGATGAGGCTGTCAGCGGGTCGTCCGCGGCGAGCACCTCTCAATTGGCTACGAAAAGAAAGGCCTCTGTGCCGTCGAGGAAGTCCAGTGGCGCTGCCTCTCGTGTGAGGGCCCCAGCACCCGACCCAGTGTTCCGTCAGTTCATGCCGATTCCGAAGCGCTCACGACAGCAATTTGAAGGCCAGGGCATGTTGGGAAGGCAGTCTGCTGCGCCTGCGCCTGCTCTTGCTCCTGCTGCTCTTGCTCCTGCTGCCGATGTGAAGGAGCGTCCTCTGAAGCGGCAACGCAGGTGAATGTCCGTGCGCGCAACCATGTAGTGTAACAGTCAGCAGTGAAGCATCTCGCATACTATCTTCAGTATAATATATGTCATGTATCATACTTGATGTGCGAACGTGCGCGATGGCGCGTCTCCACACTTTTCGTGTGCTGTACAATCCGTGAGATACCCTGGAGATTAACGCATGTAGAGTCGCTGAATCACACACAAATGTGAAGACGCGCGATCACGCACGTTCACATTTAAGGGACATGTGTGCTTGTTGCGTGCGCGCACCCCACGAATGTGAACGTGCGCGATCGCGCGTCTCCACACCTGTCCACCATGGTTCACGTTTACATGCAGTTGTGCGCGCACACTCAACTGTGGACACGCGCGATCGCGCAGCTCCCCACTTTGGGCGTGTCTCAATCCACACGCATTCCGCATTCGTCGTAGCACATAAATTGCATTACATTGCAGTGACACGATAAACAAGACAGCACGACATGGGTCACGTCCGAGAGTCCACGTCAGCAAGACGTATCATACGAGGAGACTACATTGTACAGAGATACAGCAACAGAGATAGATGAAGAGACATACGCACCGGTGCACGCACACGCCGCTCAGCCTCACTACTCGTCCATGCCCACGTCCGCATTGGGCTCCGGGTGCATGGTGCGCGCACCGGTCTTGCCAAGGTCGTTTGCCTCCGACCGACCGCCGAGGCCAGTGCCTTGCACGTCAGTCATGGCTGACGAAGGAACGGGCTGCTCGCCTGCGGGCACCTCTACACTGGGCACTCGCTGATACCATGCGTTAATGCACATCCTGACTGAGGGCGGGCCACTGCTTACCTCGCGCATCAGCTTGATGAACTCGTCGATCCCTGCCTTGATCCGCTCGTCCATGACGATGCTGAGCTCGCGCAAGAAGTGAGATTGCGCCGCTTCCTGCTCCTCGCGGGCCTGCTCGAAGACGCTGGTCATCTGACTGACAGTCTCAGTCGCGCGTGTCTCCCACTTCTTCATCATCTCGGCGAGGGGAGCATAGTCTCCAGTGGTGTCGTCACCGTAGAGTACAATCGCGTCTCTGGCGTTGTCACCTTCGACTACGATCGGTTCCCCGGTGTCGTCGCCACCATCGACTACAATCGCGTCTCTGGTTTTATCACCGTCGACTACGATCGGGTCCGTGGGGTCGTCACCGCCGACTACGATCGGGTCCGTGAGGTCGTCACCGTCGACTGACATAGGGGATGCCTCGTCGACTCCGCCCAGAGGAGACTCAATGCGCGGACGCACGCGACGCGAGGGGCCTGCCTGAGATGGAATATCATCGGCGTCGTCAGCTCCGAGAACGTGCACACCGAGCCACACCAAATTTACCTCTGGGTTCGCAGTCGCCCGCCTCTTCGCAGCCACACCTGACGATGGGCCGGCGACTTCATAGTCCTCGCCCACATCTGGCAACGGAGCGCTCTCCTCGCTTTTGACCACTACGTCCCTGTCGGCGTCGATGCTGTACGTGGCGATCTTGTTCTCGTCGACCGTCAGGAGCCCACGTACAACGTAGTTCTGTGGATACGTAAGATGGCTAGTTGATGTGCACACTGTAAAACTGACTCACCTTGACGCTGCACGGGGACCGATGCCCGAAGGCGCATCTGTCGCACCTCTTGTTGTTGTCGGACACGGTACAATCGACATCATCTCCAAGCGGGCCATCCCCATCTTGTGCCCGCTGCTGAACCAGGCACAACGTGCACCGGTAGCGGCCAACAAACTATAAGAAGGGGGGTGATGTGGTCAGCAAATGTTAAATGCGCGCACGGGTGCGCGCACAGACCCCCAACATAGAAAGAAAGACTTACCTTGTAACGGAGCACAGGCTGGCGTTTATCCTTCTTGGTCGGGCGTGCACGACGCTTTCCCTTCGCTGACCGAGACCTCAACTCCCTCTCGTTCTCCTCCTCGAGCTGATCCTCCTCCTCGTCCTGCTCCTGCTCCTGCTCTTCTTCCTCCTGGTCCTGGTCCTCGCCCTCTTCCTCCTCGGAGGGCTGTGGTGTCTGAGCCTCTTGCTCGGGCTCAGCCGTCTCCTCCTGCTCGCTGTCAGTATCTTCGACCTCGACCTTGGCGACTTTCTTTCTCTTCGAAACGTTCCGCTTGCTGGGTGTGTCCTTCGCGGACTTCTTGAGGGCGGCTCTCGACCCGCGCTTGCCAGCACGGCGTCCCTCATCTTCGCCAGCATCTGCGGCGTCCTTGCGCGTCTTCCGTCCCTTGACCGGGGTTGACTGTGACTTTCCCGCCTTCGCCGAAGCAGGCTGGGACTTGGCCGCCTGAGCCGAGCCGGGCTGGGACTTGACCACCTTCGCTGGAGTGAGCTGGGACTTGCTCGCCTTTGCTGGCGGGGGCTGCGACTTTCTCGTGTTTGCCGTAGGAGGCCCAATCTTCACCGTGCCGTCTACTGTCGGCGGGCTGGTCTGCGCTGCTCCACCGTCAGTGGACAAAGTGCCGGGCCTAATGCGATGCCTCCCTCGCGTTGGCGGCTGCGGCTGCGGCTGCGGCGACGGCTCCCGGGACTGCGCGTGTACCACGTCTTGTGGCGACAACTCCCGCGACCGCGCGCCGCGTGTCACGTCTTGACGCTCCGGTGACGGTGTACCTGCGGATGGTGGGTTGGGTGAGTGTGCAGCGACGTGGGTGTGGACGGGGACGGGGGAAAGGGGCGAAGAGGGGGCGTCAGGGGTCGTGGGTACTGGAGACCGGACGCGGCGAGGTGCAGCAACCTCGCCGCTTGCAGCGGCGGGAATCGTGGCGGGAGGTGCGGGGACCGTGGCAGGAATCGTGGCGGGAAGTGCGGGAATCGTGGCGGGAGCCGTGGTCCCGGGAGGTGGTGCAAGTTCCATGGCGGGGGGAGGTACAGGAACCGTGGTGGGGGCTGGGGCGTTTGGACGCGCACGGTCGGGGGACGCAGGCCCCATCGGCGGGGCTGACATGCGCTGCCGGTCGGGGGACACTGGGGGCCGGGGCGTTTGCACCTGACGTGCGGGCACAGGGATCGATGGGGGTGTGGCCTTCACGGCCGTCGGAATGGAGCCCGCAGGCACGATCGATGTTCGCTGTGCTGCCGAGGCTGGCTTGTGGGCTGGCTCGCTCGAGGGTAGAGGAGGTGCTATGCGTACGAGTCGTAAGTGCCACGTCACGAACAGCGGTCGTCGTGAACAACGTACCTGCGAGCCTATTGTTCTCTGCAAACGAAGAACTGTCAGCACTCGTCTTCAAGACACGACCGTGGCTCGTGCACACGCAAGTTCGCACGCACGTTAACAAGGAGAACTCACGTATCCAGCACTGTATGAACAGCTTCGACAGTTTTGCGACCGCGGCGAAGGACTGTATCGGTAGCGACACTTTAGAGGCCTTCATCGCTCGTGTCAGGGTCCCCTCGGTGCCTCCACTGCGAGCGCAGGCAAGCACGAGCGTTGTGTACCTGTGCTTGCTCGTATCAACTTTGGACGTGTGCAGCGCCGCCGCCCACGGAGGGGTCTTCAAGCCGTGACACATTTCAGGTGGTGTGAGGGAGTGAGAGAAGACAAAGCACGAACCAAAATGCTCCCCATCCATATCTTCTCCACCGCCTGCAGCGACCACGGACCCTCGATGGTGTCGCGCAGAAGGTGCTCGAGCGCGTCCAGCTTGTCCTTCGTCCACTCACTGGCGTCCGGGGCCGGCTCCGTGAAGAAAGGAGCCTCGTCCTTGCGTCCGTCGTCGACGGACACGTTGTCCGCCGTGGCCTTGATGCAGCCCACGAAGGCGTCGTACGTTAGTTTGCCGACCATCGTGAGCGGGAAGAGCAGAGAAAGCAGATGGACGCGAGGGGAGAGTGTGTGATGAAGTGCAAAAGCAAGTGCGCGCGCGCGACAGAGTGTCGCTTTGAGTTCCCGAGCGCTCCGCGCGTTCCGCTGGGCCGTAGTATTGTCACACGGCAGAGATCGCATCGGCGTGCATCGTCGATCGCGATTGATTCCGTGAGATAATCCCGATCTAGCCTGGCAAACTCACGTCCTCTGGACACTTGCTGTCCGTAGTGTGTGTCGTATTGCTCAGAGCACAGACATCTGTGCTTGACCCGCGCTCTTGAGGGCCGTTGCTGGTGCGTGTGAAATATCCTCATTTGTGAACGTGTGACATTATGTATGTCCCCCGTCTTGAGTGCGCGCATCTGCGGAGTCGCGCGCACCGATCATTAGGCATTCGCCGACGCACTGACGCGCACTGGCGAATGCAGGTGCAAGTATGTCAGTGACGTCCGCGGCTTCAGCGGCTTCGGTGTGGCAGTGAGGTTTGTGTGCTGCTCAATGATGCGCACGTAGATTTCACAGGTAGATACATAGTCAGTGTATGCATGTGTTGCTAGTACCACAACATTCATAATCGACCGAGGCCGCAGAGAGGTCATGGTTTGTTGCGCGAGACAAAACAAATAAGTCCGTATAGCACACACTAGTGTGGGTCACGTCGGCTACGTACAGGACAAGCAGGCTAAGAAATGAGTAAGTCAACAGGTAGGTGGTTGAACGCATGCACCGTACTACGAGATGGACAGGTCACAGTGTATCCAAGGCTTGACTCATACCAATGCCTGCCTGAGTAAAAAAAAGTCACCGCAGTGGGTATAAGTGCCAGGGAGGAGCATGGGTGAACGGGCAAGGTATCTGGGCGACAGGGCGAACAAGCGAGGGCGTAGAGAAAAAGAGGGGCCGAGGAGTCAGCAGCGGGGCGAGGATACAGCACTTCCCTGGGTCTCAATGATGGGAAGAGCAGTGAGGGAACTGCCACCGAACTTCTCGCTCATTGTCGCCGCATGGTCGAGGAGACGAGAGTGAAGGTAGAAGACATCACCGGGGTACGCCTCACGGCGGAGCAGCAGCGACATCTGACGAAAGGCAATAGCCTGCTTGAACAAGTCGTCGTAGATAATCAGAGCTGCATTCACTATGAGCTCACTCGTGCGACATCCAGTGACATGCTATTACATACCGTGCCTGCCACTGTCACGGAACCATCCGCCCATAACACAACCTGAGAAGGGAGCAAGGTACTGGAGAGGAGCACCCTCCGACGCGTGGGAGCAACAATGTTAGTGTACTTCGTGGCATCGTTCTCCTCAAGGGTCTTGACGAGCTGGGCGACGGTGGAACGCATCGATAGCAACGTAGACACCGTACAGCTGCTTCTCCTCGTCTTGGCCATCATTCCACCTCTTCTAGTTGAGGATGGCGTCAATGGCAACAGCTGTCTTACCAGTCTGGCAGTCACCGATGATCAGCTCACGCTGGCCACAACCAATGGGAACCATGGCGTCGATTGGCTTGATCCCAGTCACCATAGGCTGGTTGACCGAGCGACGGGACAGGATGATAGGGGCAACGCACAGCGACGTTCAGACGTGTTAATGACACCATTGCGATTGGAGTTACAGAGAGCGTCCACGACACGGTCAAGGCTCTCGGGGCCGATGGGGACGTCGACAATCTGGCCGGTACGCTTGATGGGTGGGTCAGAGAGGCGTAAACAGAAGTTGAGCGCATGCTGGCGGGAAGGAAGAACATATGAAGGGAATGGGCCACACACCAGGCCGACCGCAGGAAGGCAAATCACCGCCAACGACCGCTATCTCTGCCCTCGGCAGGGGCATGAGAGTGTGCAAGGCAATACGAGAGCGACGAAGAAAAGAAACACGCCACGAACCGGATGCAAGAGGTCCTATGCGAGAGCACGGTGTCCGAGATGATGAGCGACGACGGCCGCCTGCGCGAACAACGATGCGGCGACCGGATGGAGGAAAGCAGGTATGGAACGAGAGATGATCACGTCGCGCGACGGGCGTACCACACGCACGGCGTCGCGTGGGCGTACCAGTCCTGGCCCTTCGCCTTCTTCATCGTCGGGGCGCGGTCGGTCGAGATGGCGTCGGACGTTGATGGCGAGCACTTTCCATTTTCAGGAAATGAGTCAAAGATGTTGGACCTCGACAGCGACCGGCTACCTTGCTTCTGCATCGGCGGCAACAGAATGTTGCTCGATGCCGTATGGCGTCCCGTGGATGCTGTGTGAGGCGATGTGATTGTTGGCGTCGATGGGGATGCGGACCACCCGGGCTCGAGTAGGACAGCTCGGGCGCGTCGGGTGTATCGGGACGCGTGGGCAGACGTGGGCACGCCGTGCTGGCGTCGAGAGGCATGGGGGTGGGCTTCGGTGGCGACGTTGACGGACACCCGGCGAAGCTCGGGGCGGTGGTCGACGTGTCGCCATATGGCGTCGTTGACGGTACTGGTGTCGGCGCAGGCGAGGGGAGCACGTACGTTGGGTATGGCCCGTGGCCCTTGAAGTCCCCCACACCTTCGCCTCGAATTCCTTCAGGGCTGCCGGTTCGGTGTTGAGTTGCCACTCGAGGTAGGAGCACATCTCGCGCTCCATCTGGTTGATCTCGCGGAGGGCGAACATGCCCTGACCGACGATGTTCCACGATCTGTCTCTGTGTGTGTCGTTGCAGATGACCTTGGACGCGATCGTGAAGGTGGAGATGAAGAGGCGGTTGCCCAACGAGCCGCGCCTGGGTGTATCGGGACGCGGGGGCAGACGTGGGCACGCCGTGCTGGCGTCGAGAGGCATGGGGGTGGGCTTCGGTGGCGACGTTGACGGACACCCGGCGAAGCTCGGGGCGGTGGTCGACGTGTCGCCATATGGCGTCGTTGACGGTACTGGTGTCGGCGCAGGCGAGGGGAGCACGTACGTTGGGTATGGCCCGTGGCCCTTGAAGTCCCCCACACCTTCGCCTCGAATTCCTTCAGGGCTGCCGGTTCGGTGTTGAGTTGCCACTCGAGGTAGGAGCACATCTCGCGCTCCATCTGGTTGATCTCGCGGAGGGCGAACATGCCCTGACCGATGATGTTCCACGATCTGTCTCTGTGTGTGTCGTTGCAGATGACCTTGGACGCGATCGTGAAGGTGGAGATGAAGAGGCGGTTGCCCAACGAGCCGCGCCTTTAGACGTTGGAGGAGGTACAGGGCAGCGAACGTCGCCGGCGTGTGATAACGCGTTGTTTGAAGGGCGTAGGCGATAAACAACGCGAGGACGGTGCTGGCGGTGGATAATAGAGGGAGGGCCGGAAATGCAAACAAATGCGCCACGAACCTCGCATAGAGCTTCGTAGTCCGAGTCTCTTCATGTCCATAATACAGGTGGGGCTGCGAATGGATCAGCGAGCGAGTTGGTCAAGCTATTGCTGCATCAGAGTAGTTGCTCGCTACCCACAATCACGGCGTGCGTACCACAGCCACTTGATACTATTGCAGCTAGTAGGCCGTTTCTTCCAGGTGCGGTCTCAGCATCAGCGAGTCGAGACGGGGAGCGTTAGGGACTCACTGTAGGCCAGTGCATGTGGCGGATCACTTGTCGGGAACCTGTCACACAACCTGGCCACTTCAACATCAACAACAACATCCCCAGTTGACGCGTGACGAGTGACAACGTACCCAGCTCGTGTAAAACGACTTCAACACAGGGTTCGACGTCCCAGACTAACAAATGGAACAGCTTGAGGCCGTCAACCCGTTGTTTCGACCAGATAGCAATCGTACGGTCGTGCCCCGGGCCTTCAAACTGCCCTTCAAAACGCGCACCCCTAAGACTACTAGACATGGTGAGTACGCGCACCATATCGTTGTCATGTGATATCCGACATGTTCGTTCTCATATCTGATCGCACAGCTCTCTTCCTTTCTGTCCATCACTCCTGTGTAGCCTACGGCCGCGTACAGAGGTGAGTGCTATGCGTGAACAGATCTACGCGAAGACTGACGTCGGTGTCCAGAAAGCAGCCATGCCACATCCAACATTGTCGAACCGAAGGCGCGTTGAAGCCGACGCTCTTGCACTATACAAGATTCTCGTC